GCATCCCTCACACTGGATACCAGACTGGGATACCGAAGGACTGACCTTGAGAATCTGGGTGTGACAAACAGGACGTGACATGACTCTGGATGATCAGCTGTGATGCAAAGTGATTCTGGATGAATAACTGTGGCGTGACGTGACTCTGGATGAACAGCTGAGACGTGACGAGACTCTGGACGGACAGCTGAGACATGGCGAGACTCATGAAGATCAGCTGTGACCTGACTTGACTCATGAAGATCAGCTGTGACTAGACTCGACTCAGGAAGATCAACTGTGACTCGATTTGACTCATAACGATCAACTGTGACTAGACTTGACTCGGGAAGATTAGCTGTGGCTTGACTAGACTCATGATAATAAACTGTTACTTGACCTGACTCATGATGATCAACCGTGACTTGTCTAGATGCTGTTGTGTCCGCCATCTTGTGAGTGTGTTCTGCTGTTGCCGCCATCTTGTGAGGGTGCTCTAGTGTGGTCGCCATCTTGCGATCAGGCTCCGCTGCCGCCGCCATTTTGTGAGCGCTTCCAGCTTCTATTTAGAGAATACTAAGCACCACCTCTACATTTAACAATATGCTGCCACTTTGTGGTTTAACTACAAAACACCACAATTGTGTCATGTTCAGTGTAAATAAACAAATCACTTGTCTCTGGAAAATGAGTTTGCAATAAAAACGTACAGGCTTGCCAAACTCTGAATATTGATTTGGTGCTATTTGTATCCCCAATATCTTTATTCTTGATTATTTATAAGGTCCGTCAAGGGAAATGAGCTCTAGTCAACAGCCCAATGTGAATGTAACGGGGCTGACGAGACGTGAGACGTATGGATCCATCTGCAAGCTTTTATTAAAGAGACATGGTAAACAGGATCCGGGGTGCTATGCAACAGTCTGTGTAGTGTGAGAGTCAATGTAATGGAAAGGGTGACCTCTGGTGGTGAATAAACGGAAGTCCATGGACCGAATTCGTGACAGTGAACAGCAATTTAAACAATATTTGATTTGGTTATTATCTTGGTATTATCATTTATGTTATTGTCAAGTGCTTTGTTTCAAAAGATAAACATAACTGCATAATAAATCAACCATCTGTGTAGAAGAAACATGTTAAATACATATTAAATATTTATTTTCCTCAATTTGTTTGTCTCTGTGTTCCAGTGCTCACATTTTCTGCATGAGATTTGAAAACAGAGTAGTTACCACATGATCAATGACAACAGCTTACTACACAAACAAAACAACAAAGGGATGAAAAAAAGGAATAGTAACATCAGTCATCATCAGAGAGTTCAGCCTCTGAGGACCCTGTGTTTCCAACTGTTAAATTTGATTTAATTTGCTTTTATTATGCTGACGCCTTTAAGCTGATGAGAGAGAGAATTAGATGACCCTCTTTATTAAGTCTCAGGAGGACACAAAAACATCTAAGGGATAAACGAAAGATATGTATATACACTAGTCAACATTTGAAGTTGATCAAAACCTTTCATCAAAGTTGTTCTAAAACCTAAAACGCCTTCTTGTCTTGGGACAACTTTGATAAACTTTTTGACTACTGTATAAAGAGAGATGAGAAGAATCTTCTTTTGTAAGAAATGTCCCTGCTGTGAAAAAGTTTCACCTGTGAGCGAAGACAGAGGGAATAGCGAAGGGAAAGAGGAAAATGGTCATGCCCAGGTCACTGATGGAGAGGTTGATGATAAAAAACTCAGCTGGCTTTAGAGACAACTTCTTACGATAGGCTACAAACAACAGAGTGGTGTTTCCCATCAGAGACAGCACACCTACAGTGAAAAAAAGAAATATACAATCAAACAATCAGTCAATTAAAAATGAATGGTAAAGCTGCCTTGAACAATACTTATTCAAAATTGTGAAAAGCATTTATCGGGGTGCCCATTCCTTTTCCTGAAGATCTGCCTTCCTGCAAAGTTCAGCTCCAACCCTGATCAAACACACCTGAACAAGCTCAGATCTTCAGAAGCTCTTGAATATTACAGACAGGTGTGTTTGATCAGGGTTGGATCTGAAATCTGCCTGTAGTGAGATCTCCAGGAACAGGACTGGGCACCACTGTGCTATAATGAATAGCGCCATAATGCACTATAATGAAATAATGAAAATACATAATGAAATAAAAAAATAAAATGAATAATGAAAATGCATGTGACTTGACTTGGAAAGATAAGGCCATTAGTAGTATGCAGACAGAATCTGTTATTTTAAATTTTCAGGGTTATTCAGAGAATACCGTACTCTCAGTAGCTTAAAGCCTTATCAATGTATTTTTCATGCAATTTCTCAATCACAATAAACATTCAGGTCTTTTGAGGGTTTCTTTATTTATAGAAAGTATATGGTCTTTGTAATAACCATATCTTTATGAGAAAACTATTTTTTTGATTAAAGTTAAATCAAAATGTAAGGTTTGAACCAAACCATAAATATGATTTGAGAAAAACTATTTGATGTGAATTAGATTGCATTTAAGTTGGTCCAAACTAACTCTTTTTTTCAGTATTTTGAAAAACAGCAGCAATATCACAACAGACAACAGTGTTCAATGAACAACTGAAAGTATAATAATAATAATATATTTTATAATAATACGAATCTTTATCCTTTATAGTAAGATGTTTACAGAATTAAAAACTATGTTTAGCCAGTACTTTCAGACTACTTTGACAGATACTTACCAAAGATGATGTAAACGGTTCCCAAGAGCAAGTCATTCTCTTTCGATATTTTGGACTGAAACATACCAGTTTCAGATGAGTTTTCCATCTGCACAGAAGAAGACAAGGAGCAAATGCAAGACTAGTATGCAACACCCACATTTGTTTTATTTTGCACACCTTCCTCTTTACATTTGTAAATGTGTGTTGTTGGATTCAGTCCAGAAGTGATCAATTCATTTCCATTAGCACCTGCTTCAGTCTAATAGATGAGAAGTTCTCTAGAAACGAGAGCGTCTCAGTATGTCTTACCATAAATCAATTTTGCTCTGAAGTGCACACAGTCCACATGGCAAAGAGATGTAGCATGCGCGCACATTCCATAGGTGTTTTGAAAAGGCGTTCTGCATTTTTAGATTTTCAAAAAAAAATTTTGAAATACGGGGACACTCAAAATGTCCTCACAAATCTCCTCCTCGTTGTAATAACTATGTCATACCCATGCCATTATACAAATTTGTGTCCTCATAAATCACAAAAACGCGCGCGCACACACACACACACATACACATAGTAACACATTGTGCTTTCCTCCACTTTCATCTTTAGCCTGCAGGCACCTGACCTAGGGGAATATATCACACACAACAAATGATCCAGCGCTCCACATCCTCTCTCCCAGCCTACGGAAAGATATTTTATCATACAAAATATAGCTTTTTGATATCAAGAATAAAACATTTATATTCACCCCACTACCAAGAGATCACATCCCCCATAATTGGTTCAGGAAACGCCGGTTGCAAGACAACAATTCTTCCTTTGATTTATGGATTTGCCAGTTTTCTGTCAGCCAGATGTAAACGTATGGGTTGTTTGATTGATGCTCTTGAGTGTCGAAAGCTTTCACACAGGTAGACAGAAGAACATCTTGCCAGCATCCGTGTCAGTTAGCTGTCTCACAAGCAGCTATGCATATGACCACTGAATATCAACAAGCAGATGTTTAGATCTCATGTCCAAAGATAGAATCCTTTACAGCCTAAGATTAAAAAGGCTGTTCTTATCATCAATTAAATGTCTCCCTGTTTTCAATATGACAATTGTCTTTGCAGGTTTTGCTCCTGGGTGAGTTTCTGTAATAACACTGTATTTAATCAAAACAAGTCTTTTGAAAACTAGACATTTAATTTGTTAAAAGCAACAGTGGTAGTTGGTTTCCTGCAAAAGGTTTGTTCAAACCTTAATACATCTATTTCCTAATGTGAACTAATTATGATGATAGAGCAACATACCTCTCAACTATTTAATTCGTGTATCATATTATGTAAATGTGATTCCAGTGATGTTCAAGAGTGTATTCATTAAAATATGTATCGCTTTTTTTATTTGTTTTATTTATCACATATTTTAATGTTATATCAATAATAATAATAATAAAAGAAAATGAGGTCTACAGTATTTATTTTCTCAACTGTTTGAAAATATTTTGTTGGAAATATGGGGTGATGGATTGAACAGTCATGCATTCATAAACCAAAACAAAATGATACTTTCTTGGTAACACTTTACAATGAGGTTCATTAGTTAATATTATTTAACTACTTTAGTTAACATGATCTAAGCATGAACAATACTTCTACAGTATTTATTAATCTTAGATAATGTTAATTTCAACATTTACATATGCATTATTAAAATCTAATGTTGTGCTTGTTAACATTAGTTAATGCACTGTGAATTAACATGAACTAACAAAGAATGACTCTATTTTCATTAACTAACATTAACAGAGATTAATAAATACTGTAATAAATGTATTGTTCATTGTTTGTTCGTGTTAGTTAAAGGGGTCATATGATGATTTTCTTTAGTGTGTTATGTAGCTATTTGTGCATGTATAAGATCTGCAGAGTTACAAAGCTCAAAGTCTCCTACAAAAGGATTTATTCTATCTAAAAGAGAAGGCTGATCCAGACCGGGCTAAAACGGCTCATTCAAACATGCCCGCACATCTCTACGTCACGATGTGGAAATATTTGCTTAATGCCGCCCAAATTTGCACGCAAAGAAAGAAGGCATGGTTTCAGGAACAGCAGTAGTGTTGAAGCAGCATGTCAGGGAGACGCTGCGTTTCAGTGCGAAAGCAAAAGCACTTTATTTGGTCTTCCGGAAGTAGATGCATTTAGGAATCATTGGTTAAGATTTATTTACAACAGAACAGCACAACCCAGATGTTCAAATTTGTGCAACGCATTTTATGGACGACAGTTTTGTGAACCTGAGTAGCCTACAAGGCTGGCTGGGCACAAAGGCTATTTCTAAAAAAATGGATCAGTTCCGACAATCTGGCGCTTATTCTGAATCAGCTACTGTAAGTATGTTTTCTTAATAGTTTAAGTATTTGCGTCATGTAGAGTATCGCGTCGTGTGTTTGTGTGTGTGTGCGTGTGCATGAGAGAGAGACAGGGTCACATCACAGAGGAGTCAGCTTTCTTAATTGCGTCTTGTTTACTGCAAATACATACAAGCATCATCACTGTGTCTGTCACGCGACTCTGTTCCCCTTTCGGCTTGAACTGATGGTAAAACTAAGGACATTATTTACTGTCTTTACATTTATGTTGAAAGCTGAAGCTCACAATTATGGAAAGGGGTGTTACACTTCCGATGCGTGCTTGTGGTGTTCGGCCAATCACAATGCACTGGGTCAGCTGGCCAATCAGAGCAGACTGCGCTTGTCAAAGGAGGGGCTTTGTAGAAACGACGCGTTTGAGAGAGGAGGGGCATAGAGGAACTACAATAATGTAAAGTATTTGAAAAAGAATGTGTTTTTTAACGTTAAGGCATTCGGAGAGCATGGAGGAGGGTGGGGGGGTTGCTGGAAGCAATATTTTTGAAAGGGGGGCACTGAAGTGTTCTTGGGGGGCGTTTGGTTAAGGCAAGTTTACACCAAAGATGTATGAGCTGAAACTTGCAAAAGAAAATAGTCTGGCACATCCTAATGCCGTCTCTACACTGGATGCATCAAAGTACACGTTATATATCTGTTTGTCAACTTGTTGGTAGGTAGCGCAAGTGAGTGGTGCACGGCAGGCAGAGAACGCAGCATCCGTTTAGGCCTATGTAGTGCTCGCGCTCACATATACTGAACCACTGGTTAAAATCAGGATCTGTGTGCTTTGACGCAACGTGTTGTGACGTTCGTGCCTGAAAACTACGACGCTCTGACTTTCAAAAAATCCACTCCTCGCTCCAGTCAAAAATCACGCCGCTCCACTCTGCTCACTCTGCCAGGAACGGAAGAGCAAACTAAAATCTCTGTGGATATATTCTAAACAGGAATTTTAATCAAGTCTTTTAAAACTTGGGGCAACAACGTCATCAAATATTTAGCAATGAAAATCACCAACATGCTTAAAAACTTTGTAAATAAATGTTATTGCACTTATTTTCAAATAATCTATTTTAAAAACGTATTTCACTGTCATTTCATTTTTTTCATCAATTTAATGGATCCTTGAATTAAAGTTATTTATTTAAAAAAAGTAATGACCCCATACATTTTAATGCTACTTTAAATATAATACCAGTCCTCATTATAAATACAAAATAATAATCAACTTCAATAGTCTATGAAGACAATTAGACTACTTTTTATTTGATTGGAGGGGGGGGGGGGGGGGGAAAAGTTGGGAAACCACTTTTGAAAAGGTTACCCCCTTTCCTATAAAAAAA